TGTTCGGGGAGCCATGTCACCCCATAGCTCTTTGTTGTCTTCACCACTTTCTGAAACCTATAGTCCGTTAGAACCCTATCGGAATAACGTATCCAATTCATTATCCCATTAGAGTTTCTGACTACGTTTCAGGGGGGTAAGTGTAATTATCGATACCACAGGGACCTTACAGTTATTTAAGCTTACCTCAGGGGGGTGTGTGTAATTTACCCTAATAATAATATAACCAAAAGTTTTCAAGAAAATCTGAAATTGAAGATAGATGGATAAAAATCTGCCAGCTCAAACATATGTGAATTGTGATAGGCTAAACACCATTAGAATCTTGACAACCAATCAGAGATGAGATACATATTTCATCACAATTAATTCTTTCCTATAAAACAACTTCATCCATCCCACCAATTAATCATTCATTCATCACCTCCAATTTCTTTCTTCAGCTATTAAATCAACATATATTTAATTTTCCTAGTAAGTACTAAAGGATACAATGTCTCTCTCTTCACCATCCTTCGCCGGACAGGCTGTCAAGATCTCCCCTGAGATCGCCGCCACCAACAGCAACAGCAACGGAAGAGTCTCGATGAGGAAGACCGCCGGCAAGCCCAAGCCCAAGCCCGCCTCCTCCGGCAGCCCATGGTACGGCCCGGACCGAGTTAAGTACTTAGGCCCATTCTCCGGCGAAGCTCCCAGCTACCTCACCGGCGAGTTCGCCGGCGACTACGGCTGGGACACCGCCGGGCTGTCAGCCGACCCAGAAACCTTCGCCAAGAACAGAGAACTAGAAGTCATCCACTCCAGGTGGGCCATGCTCGGCGCCCTCGGCTGTGTTTTCCCTGAACTCTTGGCCCGTAACGGCGTTAAGTTCGGCGAAGCCGTTTGGTTCAAAGCCGGGTCACAGATATTCAGTGAAGGAGGATTGGACTATTTGGGCAACCCGAGTTTGGTCCACGCACAGTCCATTTTAGCTATATGGGCCACCCAAGTTCTTCTCATGGGTGCTGTTGAAGGCTACCGTATTGCCGGCGGGCCACTCGGCGAAGTGGTCGACCCGTTGTACCCGGGTGGGAGTTTCGACCCGTTGGGTCTAGCTGAAGACCCGGAAGCATTTGCAGAGCTGAAGGTGAAGGAGCTCAAGAATGGGAGACTCGCAATGTTTTCCATGTTCGGATTCTTCGTTCAAGCCATTGTTACCGGAAAGGGTCCGTTGGAGAATTTGGCGGATCATCTATCCGACCCGGTTAACAACAATGCTTGGTCGTATGCAACTAACTTTGTTCCCGGAAAGTAAACAGCTTTGTAGTTAGTTTATGTGTTGGTCCAATTTGTTTGTTTAATGTAAATGGATAACTGGTTTTTCAACGATGTCTGTTTCTTTACCTGGTAATTGCATTCACGAGTTATGGCTAAATTACGAAAATGCCCATTTTGTTTAGATAATTTCAATCACCTTTCAACTATAAATCTTATTACATGTCTACCGTTGTAGTTTTAAATTTAGTGGTATCTTCTGGATTATATGGAATATTCTCAATTTTGGACATGTTGTATCTCATTCGAGCTTCACATTTTAAAGCTAGATGATCATAAGAATGTGTTTTCTGGCTTATATATATATATATATATCAGATTGTGGTGCATCAGAAACTGTATTTTTGTACAAAACGAGTACAAACTAGAGAACATTTCACGAAATCTAGATGATTATGTTGAATTTGACATTATAAATTAGGTGGAGATGTAAGAAGATTCATAGTTGAGGGCGTAGATATAATTATCCAAATATGAAGGTTTTTTTTCGTTATTTGAACATACGTCGGGGTGGTTGTAACTTACCCTATAGCATTTAATCATTTAATGCAAGTTCAAAATTAACGAGGCAAGAAAAAAAAAAAGAAAATCAAAAACACAAAATTCAAGAAACCATTAATAGAAAGTTCTCGAATAATCCTCACTAAAATAGTACTTGGTAGTGAATTTATTGCACATTTTAGAAAACTCGAGTGTAGCTTGTGTTACAGAAGTAGTTATATCTGCATGCATCGTCGTGTGCCACGATCACACCGTTTTACGAATCTTGGAAAGAGAAGACAACACTTGCTCCATATCAGGCCGATCATCGGGATCTCGACTTGTACAAGACAATGCCAGCTGGAGAAGCCCTTCAAAAACCTCGTATTTCTTCGAAACATGCGAAGTTAAATAAGGATCGACGATTTTTCCTAGGTTGTTGCTTCCATCATGTAATTGAAGTGCTTGATTCACAAGCTGTGATAGTGTGATAGGCAATCCGTCTTCATCCACAATTCCCGTTGGTCTCGTTTTCGTAATCAATTCCATTATTATAATACCGAAGCTGAACACATCTACTTTCGTCGTCACTTTTCTCATATACGCAAATTCTAATTTAAAAAATAAAAAATCATCAGAAAAAAAAACATTTAATAAGAAAAATGAAGTAGTAGAAATTATTATTAGTATACCTGGTGCCAAATAGCCGATAGTTCCTTCGAACGCCGACGAAGCCGAAGAATTAGAAGAAGAGAGGTTGCTTCCGTTTTCGAGATGAACGCCTAATATTCTCGCGGTGCCAAAATCACTAACATGAGCTTCCATTTTACTATCCAAAAGTACATTCGAAGGCTTCAAATCGCAGTGCACGATAGGGGAATCGTAGCCTGTGTGCAGGTACACGATACCGTCAGCAACGAAAACCAAAGCATCTATACGCTCAATCAACGACCATCTCGGACGATCCGCACCGCAGTCGTGTATCATATTCTCCAAATTGCCATTCTCCATGTATTCAAGCACTAGTGCTTTGAGTTTCTTCCCACTCTCCCAAGCGTAACCGACCACTTTGACCAGATTCTTGTGCCGTATTTGACCCAATGTGTTGACTTCTCTATAGAAGCACTTATCGGCCGATTCGTGAAGATTCAATTTCTTCACGGCTACTTTTTCACCATCTTCCAAAACACCCTTGTACACGGTGCTTAAAGTACTCGAGCCGATGACGTTTTCTTGATCGAATGAATTAGTAGCCGTTGCTATTTCCTCTGCTTCGAATCTTCTGAGAGTTTTTGCTGAAGGGCAGTCGAGCTTCGAAATATTCCGAAGCTCCCATTTTCTTTTCTTGATCTGTCGGCGGATGAAATATAACGCTGATAGAAGAATAGCGAGTGTAAGAACGCATCCCAATACCAAAACAAGAAGCTGAGCTGTAATTGTAATGCTCTTCTTCTTCTTGCATTTCTTGAAATAATTTGCTCCACAAAGAGCTCGATTTCCTTGTAAACTCGTCGAGTCTATATTCCCGAAAATACCCTTTTGAGGAACACGGCCTTCGAGCATATTGAACGAAAGATTGAGATATTTCAAGCTTGAAATATCGGCAAATGTATCCGGTATTACACCACTAAACTCGTTTCGCGACAAATCGGCCGTCGAAAGATACCTTAAACTTGCCAAACTTTGAGGAAGTGGACCGTCGAACTTATTTCTCGAAATGTTCAAGCTCGAAAGTTGAGGCGAAATTTCGTCCGGGAATTTACCGGAGAATCTGTTTGCAGAGAGATCGAGCGTGATCAAGTTTGTGCATCCGGCTAGTGACGAAGGAATATTCCCTGATATATTATTGTTCGATAAATCGATCGCTTGCACCATCGACAGCATGCCTATTTCTTCTGGAATTGTCCCCTCAAAGACATTGTGTGAAAGATTAAGGTTGATCTGCATGTTCTTCATACCAGCAAGAACAGATCCTGGAATATTCCCGGTGAAACTATTATTCGAAAGATCTAAATTCGTCAGCCGGAAAAGATTCCCTAAGCTTTTCGGAATACTCCCGTTAAGCTTGTTCCCACTGAGATCCAAATAAGTAAGCGATTCGAGTTTCGAGATGGAATCAGGAATCGACCCCACTAATTTGTTACGCTGCATTTGGAGATCGGTGAGGTTCTTAAGCTCGGAAATTTCTTCCGGAAATACCCCTTCGAGAAGATTATCGTTCAAGGAAAGCCCTTGAAGGGATCCGAGCTTCGAAAGCTCGTTCGGAATTTGACCGGAAAATTTATTACCACCAATATCCAAGTACACAAGTTGACTTAGATTCCCAATCTCTTTAGGAATACGTCCGAAAAACGAGGCTTCGATAGCACGAAAAGTTCTTAAGTTTAAAAGTTTGCCAATGTATGGTTCGAGGGTAGAATTGAAATTGTTTCGACTTAAATCAAGAACTTCAAGATTCGTGCAGTTGAATAAATCATCCGGTATTTTTCCGAACAATTTATTACCCCCTAAAGATAAGTAAGTGAGATTCGATAATTGGCCTAATCCCTTTGGTAACTCCCCTGTAATTCTGTTATAAGTCAACGTTAGGACAAGAAGACGAGTACAGTTGACTATACTCAACGGGACGGAACCCTGTAGTAAATTGTCGTTTGCCGTTAGATTCATCAGATTGTTGAGCAAACCGATTTCATTAGGAAGCTGCCCCGAAAATGAATTGAAGCCTATAGACAAGTATGTTAAGTTGGTCAACCGAGTTATACTCGACGGAATTTCGCCGCTGAAATTATTCGAATGCAGAGTTAAAACTTCGAGCGATTTCAAAGAAGCTATTTGCGACGAAATTTCGCCGACGAAATAATTCTCAGCCAATCCCAAATGTGTGAGAAATTTCAGCTGGAATAAAGAGTTTGGAAGTGTTGAATTCAGCTTGTTTTTGTGCAACCTCAGGATTTCTAAGTTGACTAAATTCCCGATCTCGAACGGAATTTCACCCGTGAATTCGTTCGCGTATATATTGAGACGAACTAGGTTAGTACAGTAACCTAGTTCACGTGGGATTTCTCCATCAAGAAAGTTCACATGCAACTGGAGAATTTCCAGGTTCGACATGTTACCGATTTCTCGAGGGATTTTTCCGGACAATCGATTTTCGCTAAGATCGAAAGCCTGCATTTGTTTCAATTCTCCAATTGAAGAAGGTAACGAACCTTCTAAATTATTACCATAAGCTACAAACATCTCGAGATTAACTAACTTGCCGATATTTACCGGGATTTCGCCTGTGAGATTATTATTTATCAAACCGAGCTGCAATAACGAAGTGCAGTTACATAAACTATCGGGGATTTTTCCGGTTAAGGAATTATCGCCGAAGTCGATTAACTGCACATTTTCCAGGTTTCCAAGCTCTTGTGGGATAGGCCCGGAAAGGGTATTTTCGTAAAGTATCAATTGGGAGAGATTTGAGCAATAACTTAACTGAGAAGGAATATTTCCAGTGAATGAGTTGAGAGATAAATCAAGAACCTGGAGAGACGAAAGGTTTCCGAGAAAAGGAGAAATCGGGCCCTGGAATTGCTTGTCGATTAATGTTATCGAGACGACTTTACGAGAGGAAGGGTCGCATTCGATTCCAGGCCAGGTGCAGTGGTGAACGGAATCTTTCCAGGGAATAAGGAATCTTGACGGGTCTTTGGTGATTGAGTTTTTGAATGCTTTTAGAGCCTGGAATTCAGTTTGTATTGAAAGTGAAAGAGTTTGAAAAATGAGAGTTGAGATTAATGTGATGAGTAGTGGAAATTTTACACTTTGAGACATGTTTTTTTTGGTTTTCTTTGTAATGAAATATTTGGTTTTCTTTTTGGTCAACTATTTATGTAAATCAGGTCAACTGTGTGTGTGTGTGGAGTCAAACTCTTATAAAAGTAGAGCGTGTTTTCGAACAGTTAAAATGGTTGTCGACATTGGGTTATATGAAAACCTAGGATTTATGATGTTCTAGAAGCTCCAAATACACAACCTAGTACAGTGTAAAGATAAGTGTTGAGTGCAAATAAATTGAAGGGTAAATTACACCCACGCCCCTGTGGTATGCTTAAATAATTTTAAGGTCCCTATGGTATTGATAATTACACTCACCATCTGAAACGTAGTTAGAAACTCTAACGGGATAATGCATTGTATACATTATTCCGATAAGGTTCTAATGGACTATTACTTTTAGCTTGTGGTGGAGATAACATAGAGTTATGGGGAGTTATGGGGTGACATGGCTCCCCCAATATTTCTTAAATCACCAATAACTCTTTGTTCCACTCGTTAACCTACAAAACAGTTAAAACTACTAGGTGACACGCCGAGGGTAAAACACTAGATGACACGCCGAGGGTGGCCCGACGATTAACCTACAATACAGTTACACTAGGTGACACGCCGAGGGTGGCCCGGCGATTAACCTACAATACAGTTAAAAACACTAGGTGACACGCCGAGGGTGGCCCGGCGATTAACCTACAATACAGTTAAAAACACTAGGTGACACGCCGAGGGTGGCCCGGCGATTGTCCTCCGACGCTCAAGTCAGAATACTATCACAATATAAGCAAATAATATTAATTACTTGTCTAAATAGTGCTTACCTTGTTATGTGATTGATAACACATATTTATAGGTGGAGTTTGGTATGGTTTTCTTGTAGAAAACCAATGTGGGACAAAAACATTAGATTTCTTCCCATAGCTTCTTATGAGGTTCTTAATTAAGTGCCTTTGTGTTGGGCTTTTCCTTTGAATGAGCCTCATGGGCTTTTTGGGTTAAAGCCCAATTAGGCACATCAGTATTATTCCATTAGAGTTTACAACTAGATTTCAAGGGGGTGCATGTAATTATCGATACCACAGGGACTTTAAAGTTATTTAAGCATACCTCAGGGGTGTGGGTGTAATTTACCCTAAATTGAAATAAGTAGTGTGAAAAGAATCTTTTGTGGGGGTGGAAATATTGATTAATGATGTTTAAGTGTGCCAAACTCGGATTTGACTATAGTTGACGGAGTTTTCAACATGTTTTTTTTTTTTATTATTATTGAATTGAATTTATTTTTATATTGAATTTTATTATTGTAATAATGCAAGTTGGCAGCAAATGGTGAAAATGATAAGGTGGCCAAGTGGGGGATGTCACGGGTGAAGATGGAGTTTTGGCGCATTAGTAATTAATTATAAATTCTGGATCGACAAAATGGTAGGGCATATATTATACATGTATGTCTCCACCATTTATTTTGAATTTTACAAGTGAAAATTATCGGATGGATCGAGTCGAAATGTCATTTTATTCGTGTATAACATGAAATACACAATAGTATGATATTGTAAATAGAAATTTTGAAATTATATTCTAAACAATTAAAATAGGAGTGGGAATCAATATCTCATTTATGTTACAATTTTAATCGGAAAAAAAAATCGAAAAAACGAAAAAATCAGGATTTCTAAAATTCGGAATGGAAAATACTGTTTCAATATTTTATTCCATGCCAATTTTCACAATTGAAATTGATATTATATAAATATTTAATATTTTAATTTGATTTGCAAAAATTAAAACAAAAATAATAATAAAAATTGTTTGACAGCTGTGGGATTTGAACCCACGCCCTTTCGGACCAGAGCCTAAATCTGGCGCCTTAGACCACTCGGCCAAACTGTCTGATGACTATAATAAATATTAATTTTAAAATATTCTAATCATGATTCTATATTCTAAACATGAATCTAAATTTCAGAAACATGAATCTAAATTTCAGATCATTTACCAAGGTTAGCTGGTGAGGAGAGGAATGAATGATAAGGGGTAAGTAAATATATGAAGTTTAGAGGGGTATATTAGGTATTCACTTGATTATGTTCGTGTAGCTAATGATAGCTGCTCCTTTAAAATCACAGAACTATGTGCAAAACGATCAAAGCACACCGAGTTGCAGGAATGGAATAGAGAGATCCATGTTAAATGGGAAATAGATGAAATATTATATCACAAGCAAAGATTTAAAACGAGCCTTTTGATCCACATTACGAAACAATACTCGTAAATCCAACAAACAATAACGCACTATTCCAACATTGACCGATAACAATAATGCGATCGATAATTAAATTCCGAACAGCAGTTTGAAAGTGCAACAAATAATTCACCAGGTACGAGTTTCACAGACATTGCATTAATACAAACATAATTGAACATAATAATAATAATATATATGTCTGCAACACCAGCAGATACTTAACTCTACATTCTTAGTACAGAAGGAAACATCACAATTCATAATGCATAATCATAGTTTTTAAGACAACATAAGCAGAAATCAAGAAACATCAAAAAACAATCCAGAAGCTGATCTGGCAAAATCATTCGTTCGATTTTTTCACCCTTTCGATTATTTTTTCAAGTCCCATCTTCTTCACTTCAACCCTAAGAGACTTAAGGTACCTCACAGCTTCATCAAGAACATCAACATTACTCATCCGATTACCACCTGGCACTATTCCCCTCAACGCCTTCACCATTTTCCTCACCCTCTCCCCCTTCTTCCGGAAGGTTCCAGAAGATTTCTCACCGAAAACTCTCCGGGTCTTTCTAGATACACTCTCGTAATTCGAGCAAGAATCCGACGAGTCATATTCGTACTTAGCAACCGTTCGTGCTGTGCTCATGACCTCATCTTCGGATTCTCCGTTTTCTTCATCATCTTCGTACTCTGTGCTCAAAAGGGCATCGATGTCATTTTCATCTTCTTTCAATGTAGACGAAATATTCCCATCTTCATTTTCGTCCTGTTTGCAGACATTTTCTTGGAAAATAGATTTCTCGAGACCAGGATAAAACATTTTAGAGCTTATATCTGGATGGAACATGACTTGGCTTCTGTTCTCGGTTTGGTCGAATATTATATAATTTTTCGGACATGCAGTAGAAGGGTGAATATCGAGGTTTCTCAAGGGCAACAGTGGTTTAATCCCAGGTGGAATAAATCCGTTGACGAGAGACGGAATAGGAGCATTTTGCATGTAACTATAGCCCGTTTGATCACCAAGAGGGGGCATTGGCTTGTCAGACAAGTAAGGGCTGTGACTGTGCATGAATGCTCGTTGGAAATAAAAAAAAAATAGAAAAAATTACAGCTTTTTGAAAGAGGCAACTGTTTGAATTCGGATTTCGATAGCTAAAAGAAAGAGGTTGTTCAGAAAGGTTGGGGTGTATTATCCATCATGTGAGAAGAGTATTGTGTTATTTCAGTACTTCATCGGTACTCAATAACCAAAAACAGAGGGGAAAGGTTGACTGACAAGAAGACTACGTAACTGGTTTAAGCAACTGACGAAAATACTCGGCCTGCAAGAAAAATATATATAGTATCCAAATTACAGTTAATTCATAATCCAAAGATACATGCTGGTGATTAATTAACAGAACAGTAATTTTATTATAGTATTTAAATTTCAAAGGAAAATTGCATTGCGTAAATTGTCAAATATATGAATCACTGACCTGGCGAACTTGCATCAACTGGTAAAAAGCAATGCTTCCAAGGGTCATGTTAATTTTTCTTAATTCTTTAACCACTTTCTGAATTTTAATTCGGAAAAAAGCAATGTGCATTCTCACTCTTCCCACCAAAATTAAGTATAAACCGTATACAACTCAACACAGAAACGACAGCTAAACAAAATCAATCTGCAAAAAGATACACAAACATCAAAGTTATTGATAAGAAATAAAACTCCAACTTGAAACTGCGGTTATCAATGTAATTCAATACACAATGTACAAAATACGAAACGGCAATTGGAAAAAATAAAATAATGGAGGAAGGTATTGCTTACCAAATAAACTGATTTATAGAATAACGAGAAAGAACACGACAAATCGCACAAACTTCCCGAAAAAATTCGAAGATACCCACGGCATGATGATCTCTTTTTCAGCACAGATTAAAGAATTGAACCAAACCTTCTGTTATAGAAAAAAAACATAATTAATACATATCAGCATTTATTTGAAACAACTGAAGATAGATTCAGATAAGATTACAAAAGATAACGGAACAAATCAACCTTCTACATATGTCAAAACATTAACAATGTACTAAATTATTCCAGATCTTAGTCCATAAAACAAAAGTAAATAACAGTAAGAAAGCAAATTAGAACACAATTAGTAATTCTTTCATTAATTGATAGTTGAAATCCTAAAAATAATTTAATACTCCAGAACCAGATTTAGTACAAGTAAGAAATCTAGCAAAAATCGGAGATCGAGAATAGATCGATTTCAAGGACTAAACCCTAAAGATAAACAGCTGAAATGAAACTTTTAGCTAGATCAGGAACAAATTAAGAGAAAACGACACCCGATCGAGAACAATTAACAAATTATTCCAAAAAATTGGGTAGGTAACTAGAAGAATTTTTCCAAAAAAAACGAGATTAAAACTAAACAGATATATAATATATTACATGAACTAGGTTAGAAGCTTACCCAATAAGAAAAATAACTCCAAAAAAAATCGAATCAGATTTCTTCAAATAGCGAAAGGTGCAGAGGAAGAATGTTTGAAGAGAGAGAATTTTTTCTAGAGAGAGAGAGTAATGGTGGGGAGTGGTGTGAGTTTATTATGTAAATGGGAGCTGAGCGTGGTGGTGGTGGTGGTGATATGGGGATATGTGAGTGAGAGAGAGAGAGAGAGAGAGAGAGAGAGAAAGAGAGAGAGAGTGGGGAGTCAAAGTAGGTGAATCAGGGCCGTCGGATTGAAAAAAGGGGGCCGGTTTCCGTGCAATGCGGATGGGTTGGTGACCGTTGGATTAGAGAGCACGCGTGAATGGAGAAAAAAGGTAGGCCTCCACGAGGTTTGACAAAATTGCGTATCTAATATTGGAATTCGTAACAAATCCTTTTGACATTTTTTTTTATTTCCTTTTTTATTTTTTTTACCAGGTCTACTGTCCACGAACCACCACCACGCGCGTATAAAATACTAAATATTAAATTTTGAATTATTTAATTTTTAAAATCCATATTATTTTATTAATTATATATGACTGTTAAAAAAATAAATTTTATAGAGTGGGAAAGTCAATTTGAATTAAAATAGGTTCCCCGAGGTAGAGGCAGGCAGTGACCCTGATTTTGTGTAACAAAGATTTTGGCTCACTCGAGAAATAATCAATTATAAATTAGAAATTAAATTAATTCTCCACATTATAAAGAAAATAATATTTATTAATAAAAGAAAATGGAAGCATGCTTTTGTATGAAGAGTGAATGATTTGGTCAGTGGTGAATTTGTGTATGTCACGCGGGTCGAACATTTTCTACCAAGTTATAATTTACTGGTTGCTAAAAAGTCAATGACCAATCAATCTGGTCACTGTCAAAAATCCAGTAAATACAAATTGGGATTTAATTTAAATAAACAAATTTTGAGAAATCAATTTCAAAATTGGATTTGATTTTTCCTAAAAAAATAAAATGGGTTGAAATGTCGGAATGGGGACCAGAGAGAGAATAAAAAAAGAAAAATAAGGCAATTAATTGTTTTTGGAAAAGGAATAAATTAAGAATAAGCTTTTTATAGCTGGATTTGTTTTTCTTTATATCTCTTTATTCAAAAAAATGGTTCAGAAATCTGATATCACTAAACGCGCATGCTTAAAAGCACGCCTCTGCAGTGACAGCGCCAACCCATATGAAATGACCCGATCAAATTAACTATACATCATCCCCTGTTTTTTTTTTTTTATTTTTTTTTTATTTCAAGTGTGACATAAATAATGTAATAATTAAATTACATGGGAGAATATTGATTATCTAATCAAACATTCATTTCTGCACTCAATAGTCTCACCAAACTAAAGCTAAACCAATAATTGCTAAGTATTCATTACATGGTGTGTTTTCAAGATGATATAATTTTAGTTGAAATTAAACTTCAATGAATAAATATTTTTGTTATGTACAAGAGAGCTAAAGCGTCGAAATTAAGGGCACCGGCAGTTATGTGCTTCAACTCCGTTCCGTTGACTTTTTTGACCTAGTCAACTGAGCTTCTTTTCATCTTCGCCGGATCGGATTAATCAACCACCTATATATGTGTAGCGTTATTTCGTAATTCTCGCAACAATGAATTTTTTACTGGTACGTATAATGTGCATTTCAGACGGGGTTTGCTCTCGAAACCTGCATATGAAAAGCTCAAACTGCCTGAGGTCGATTTTTGTACAATTCTCTTTTTAGTTTCTTCGAGAAAAAAAAAATAAATAGAAATAAAGTCAGAAATGTAAACATGAGGAACCTGGTTCCGTGAACTTGTTTCGTTGGTCCAGGCTATCGTTCTTCGTTGTCTACTTATCACAAGTGGAGGCGGTAGTTCTCTCATAACCAATAAGACGAAGGCTGAAGGCACTGATGAACCTGGAGTGGTAATTAAAAATTAATTTATATCACTCAAATAATCGAAGAAGTTGTAATAAATTGATGAAATGTTCCAGATATAAATACCTATGAAGTAATACAGAACCAATAGAAGTGATGTATAGGCACCATGACCATCAATCTGTTGTTCGTGCCAGTGATAAAACAGCTGCAGTGATAAGAATCTCGTTTGTCTTAAAAGAAGTTTTTTTACTTGGAACAGAAACTACGAGTGTGTGTAATAACGTATATATAAAAAAGAAGGAACTTACGGGTATATTTGTTGCTACAGCGATAGCAGCACTTAACGTAAAACATATGACAGACACAATGGCGAGGCCAGCAACCTATACATGAGTAACATGACACAACGTGATGAATATAGTTCCGATAAAATATGTAAATGTATTACTTTTCACTGTTTCCGGCATGCAATTAAGATAATCATTGAAATGTAAGTAAAACCATAGTTATGTAACATAGTATAAATTGAGAGGCTACCTTCCATATTTCTGTTGAAGCCTGCTCGGATCTCACTTTTCTCATTTTCAAAAATAACATAAGCCCTGAAACAAAACATCATTGTGTGATTTTCAAGATTCACATGCAAGTATAAACTAAATGCTATCATAGAATTGTTTAATGATTCTCTAATTCCGAAATATAACCAAATGATTTATTTTCACATATCCAGCTAAATAAATAAAAAAATAGTGCTACTTTTCACAATCCAAATAACATAATAAATATAATTACATCGTTAACAGAGCTGATTCTACAATTCAGAAAAAGGAAAAAATGAGAACAATTAGAAGTCGGAACTATGGGCGCTCACCGTAGCATGCCAAGGCTCCTCCGAGCAAAAGAACTGCAACTGACATCATATCTACATATACCTGCATATTCATTAACAAATTGTCAGTTTGATGAATAACATGATTATGAATTTTGTAAAATATTCAATAAAAGGTTCTGATTAGCAGTTATATCAGTCAGCACCCGATAAATGGCTAAAAACAACTTGTACTATCTCATTTTTTTTTAAGGAACTTCTCTTCAAAGATGATGAACTAACTAATTAACTTGATCATTGAGCAGAGTAAAAAATTCACTATGTTTCCTTTTTCTGTATCTTGGGCAATACGAAACATATTAGTTATAAAGAATATACATGCCTTAGCAACAACTGCTGAGTCAATTGGATTCTTTCCCATTCCAATCCATATCAACACGGAAGCTGCTATCATTATTGTGAAAACTAAGACCGCAACCTGGTTAACATTACATTATCAGACAAGAAAAAATATGGATTATATAATCGCCAAATGAAAATTGCTGCTGTTAAGGAACTTAAGGAAAACATAATATATATTTTTTATACCAGAATCACAACTTTTTGACGGCTTCCTATATGAACCGACCTAAGGGAGAAAAACTTCCGGCGACTATTTGTGTTAGAATCGCTTGTATTCGTCTTTTCCAGCAGGGCTTCTCTGGGGCTGCATCCTTCATCTTCTTCATCGTCGCTTGGGTGGTGGCAAAGGTCAACCCTGCAAAATTGTACATTTCGGTTGGTAATATTTTATCTTCTCATAATCAAGTCATTACACTTTTAGCTTTAGAATCGCTTGATTTTGACATTCAAAATCATTTTACATTGCAAACTATATTCTAAGTCAAGGCAAAAATTTAACCTTATGTTGAGTGTATCCTTGCATGATGTTTATATACATGTGCCTTGTCTTGGAATATAATTTGCAATATAATATGTTAATGGGAATTGTTAGATAACGAACATTAAGACTAAAAGTGAGAAGTAAAAGTCTTAATTTCATATAAGGTCAAACTTACCAAAATGATAGGATTAGAAGAAATGCTGCGACAAACAGAATTTTGGGGAAAGCTGTCGACAAATCATATCTTCAGCGTAAGTATCTCTTGTGCTATGTATGACCATGGACATTTCAAGACTGTATAATTAAATCAAATTACAAAAGGGGCTGAATTTGAATACCCATGACAATGAAACCACATGAATGTGACCAGCAAGTCCAACCCTTACAAGCAGCAACGAGAGTTGACACAAAATAAATGAAATAACCTGCCAGTGAAATTAATAGTCCAATAAGTTATAAGCAAATAAGAAAATGGGAAAGTTCTTGGTTATCGATAGTGTACAAGTATCATCGGAAAGTAGCTTCAAACAGTGCACACAAGCAATTTATTACAATACCATCACATCAGTTATGAACTGCAAGAAAATAATAGCATCAAAACTTAACCATCAAGGACTGCTTACGACAGTATTATTCTGATTGCTTGAACATTTAGACGTGCTTAGCAATGCATATTGATGGACCTGCACTTTCTATATTGATGACATGAAATTTTCTTACGATTTTTGTAGTGTAAAAAAGTTAACTGCCACAGGGAGAGAAATAAGGCAGTTGATATATCTTTTAGGCCCTTTTATTGTCAAATAGAAGACATGCAATTTGTCATACCAAAAGTTCTATAAGAAATCGACTGTCACTACAAGAAGATAATCGCAAAGCATTCTAACATATAGATTGCACAAAGAATCATGTCGAAATAGAGGTTATAAAATTCCAATACCAACAGCTAGGAATTCTCACCGAGATTAGAAGATCCGATCATTAGATGAAAGACCTGAAAATGGAATCACAGTTATATATATAAAAAAAAAAAAAAAAAAAAAGGAAGAGCAACTCCAAATGTCAAAAGAGCTGAATCATTCATAATTAAACGATGATTTCTACAAATGGTATGGAACAATCAACTATGGAAACAAGATGGCACGAGCATCAGCGCCTAACGTAGCAAGAGGAGTTATATTAATGAAATAAACTTGTTACCTTTTGTCGGGTCCAGCCAAGCAGCGAATTCATCGAGTGAATCCTAATCAACTGACAAATGAAAGAATCCTTTAGAAATCAATACATAAATCAGTAACTAACATTCTCTACATAGTGAAAGCCCTAATAAGCCACCTTCTTGACTAAATTCGATTGATCATAATACAGCCTATTATTAAACCGAAGAAACATCAACTAGTTCTAATCATGAAATTCATGTCAGCAAATGCATCAATCAGCTCAAATTCAAACACCTTCATTATTAAATTTAGCAACAAAAAAACAATAATTAAAAAATTAAAATCGGAAAGAGAGACAATGAAATCACCTGATAAAAAGCAATAAATGCAATCACGGCATCTACACAAGCCAAAGCCACGTTCACCCCCACCACCGCCCCCGGATAGCAACTTTCTTCTCTCAATTCCATCATCCTTTTTTCCCCGTACACAATTCACATAACACACACACACACACACACAGAAATCGTAATGGAAAAAAGAAAAAAATAAATACTCACTGTCGAGAAAAAAGACGAATGCTACAATAAATAATAATAAATTTGGGGGAATGTCTGTCTATATGCGTACAACGATACAAATATAGGTATACAGTGTGTGTGTGTGTGTGTGTGTGTAAATGTAATTGTTTTCTCCTCCGTTGAGAACTAAGAGAGTGCAAAAAATGGCGGTGCGGCAAGTATCGAAAGGGATATTCCGTTCCTTCTTTAGAATTTCCGACGGTATCTTCCGAATTTTCACTGGTCTATAGATCTGATTCTAAATCCACCAAACCCCACCACCATTCCCTCGTCTCTCTCTCTCTCTCTCTTCTCTCTCTCTCTCTACATATAGATACAGATATATACGTACATAGAATCGAAATCACTCACCCAGAGTGTTAATTTTACAATATTGTTTTACAGCTTGACCAAAAGAAAGAGTCGCTAGTGAGTGAGTGTGAATTCGTCGTTTTGACCTATGGTTTTCGGCACGTGCCTGAATTTTTTTATTTTTTTTTTTCTTTTTTTTGTTTTTACCTTTTAAGATACCGAATCTTGGAGTTCTTTTAAAGGCCCAGTTTTAAACTAGTACACTGAAAAAAATAATTACTGCGTCAAAATCTTTCACATATTAATAAATACTAGATTAATAAATACTTCTTAAAAAAGAATCTAAAAACATTAAATATTTTAATATTTCTCTATTGGACTTTGGGCTGTGTTCATTTTACAATAGCCCATCTATTTTTCGGGCCTTGTGACTGGCCCGGCCCAATGTTAAAACTAGTTTGCATTATCCAATGGAACAACTTCAAACAAGACCCAATCCAGATCCCTTGCATTTATGTTTGTTATTTTTAAAAAATTTAAAAATTTACATATTCAGGCCTCGTTTGCTTGGTGCTATTAACCTCTATTAACTAAATAGTAGGGGTTAGTAAGATATTTGGTTGATGAGATTCGTATTTAATCAATCCCGCTATTACACTCAAAGCCTGCAATTAAGTGCTATTATTTGGTTAAATTAGTAGCACCCCTCCCCTGCGATTAATTTTGTGAGGGTTGATTAAAAGAGGAAAATACAATTTTATCCTTAAAACAATATCTTAATTTTTTAATTAAAATACTTTTAGACAATTCACATTAAATACCATAATTTAACAAATTTAATACAAGATTTAATCTAACGAATCAAACATCCTACTGACTAAATAATTAATTAGTCAGTGGGATATTAATCCAATCTCACCTAATCCAATGTAATCCGATATAGGTAAGCAAACGAGGTATTAGGGAATTAATTTTTGAATATTTTAAAATATATTAAATAGGCTCCATGATTCGGTCGTATTGTTGCGTAAACAAATGCAAATATAAGCTTCATAAATAAATAATACGTGAGGAGAACATATTTGTTTAATTAATTAATTAATTAATTAAAACAAAACAATCCCAGCTAATATTTGTTTGAAATTAAAGCCACGTAATAAGTTGGCAATATAATTATGAATGTATGATACATAATTATTTAAGACCAAGCAAATAGTGAGGACAATTAGGGAAGTTTGTTAAGTGGCATAATTATGCATGATGGGCATATGCTGGCATGCAAGTTTTGAACAATTGGCAACAAAGTGTGACAACAAAGCATTGTTGTTGTCATATGTGTTGATTAATACGAGGTGATTAATGATTCTTGATTGTTCGTTGATCAACCTAAAATATTAGGGGCCGCTTCGATTACCGCTATTACTGTATTATGTTTTACTGATTAAATAATATGGTTAATAACATGTACGAATGATAAGATTCGAACTCATTCAAATTTCAAACCACTACAAAATTTATAAACAAATATTATATGCTAGTGTTTCATTAATTTAGTAGCATTCTTTCCTTTGTGTAATTGATTTTGTAGGGGTGCGTTAACAAGAAAATTACATGTTTGTCCTTGTAGGATAAGTTACAATTGCCCTATGAAAATTACATGTTTGTCCTTGTAGGATAAGTTACAATTGCCATATGAGATAAGATTTATTTAATAAAACCCCCTTCATATTTCCATAATTGCATCCACCCTCTACAATTTGTAGATTTTTTGCATTAACACCCTTTTGTAGGGGGTGGATGTAAAAAATTGCAAAGTGTGCAGGAGCTGTATGTAATTTCTCAAAAAAAAAAATTTTTTTTCTTTTTCGTAATTACAATGTCTGAGGGAGGTGGTTGTAATTTACACTTTAATTTTATGAAGTAAATGATTTTATAGACAAATTCAATATAGTACCAGAATTTAACTAGTTTAATACGTGAACTACGAGAATTAATATAACGAACCGAACATGCGACTAATTTATGATTGAATCTCACATTAATATAAAGATTCATTGGGTGGAGTATCTACAAAATCAATTTTAATTAAGAGTCTTAACATTGGATTATTTATGTAAATTTGATTCTATGAATTTATTTATTTATTTATTTTTCTTTTTTGATAAGTGATTCTATGAATTAATTTTTATAAATACATGTCAAAAAATATAATCGAATATTTTTTTTTATTCAAACAAAGCCACGAGCCCCACGACACCCTCCACTCATTGACCCAAACACACGCGTTAAACGTTGAGTTTGAATCTACGACTTCATCTTCCAAAAATACCCTCGTACAATACCAAAATTTACTATTAAGTCCAACCTTAAATTCCACGAAACCTTCAAAATTCTGAAAAAATACAAACACCCATCATATCAAAACTCCTTTATAACCCCAAAAGAAATCAAACACAAGAATCCATCAAAAGTTTAGAGAGAGAAATCTAGAGAGAGAAAGAGAGAGAGAAGAGAGAGAGTAACTCATGGAGAAGAAGCAGTCGTCAGCGTTTTCGTTTCTATTCAAGAGGCTGAGTAACAAGAAAAGTAGTGGCGATGGTGGTGGTGGCGGAGGCGGCGGAGCGTGGCGGTGGAGGCGGAAGAGCTCTCGCTCCGACGGGTTCCGGTGGAAGAAGAAGTTCAACTTGTACCATTGGATAGTGGACAGTTTGCTATTCAGGATTGTTTCGGTTTTGGAAGCTGTGGTTCTTGTTTCCAGGCTATGTTTCTTCTTCCTCTGCTGCGGCTGCCATTTCTGATTTGCTCCGATGATTAAAATCGAAAATCATGATTTCCATGTTCGGAGAAAAATATGTTTACTTCTATCTCCGCAGGTTGAAAAAGGCGGCGTAATATTATTTTCCTTTGGAGTTGGTTAAGGAATAAGGAATATGCCGATGCCGCCATTGGTTGATGATGATTACTGCAGGAAATCAATTCATGACGAAAGCATTTTTCTCGTTACTGATTACCTTTAGACTTAATTTCATTTTTCACTTTGTTGCCACTGATTTAT